GTTTTATTTTTCGACAAAATGAACATTTTTTTGGATTCGATTGGACAGAATAATCGGCTTCCACTAGTTAAATTTTTACAAAATATGGTAAAAAAGAAATTTTTAAACAATCATTGTAACGATACTGTATTATAAACAGATATCGTCATAAATTACTAATATACTATTGCATTAATTTTCGGAAGGTGGTTTTAAACAGCGATTACGTAACTGATTTTGGTGGTCATGCTAGGTTCGTGACTGTGGCGCAACAACCTGGTAAACATTTCATTGTCGGAGACGATGATTTTCTGCGGTGTTATTTATTTTTTAAAAATAAATATCACCGCAGAAAATCATTGGTATCACAACGTATATATTAATCGAGTAATTTTAATGGTTATGACTTGTTATGACCTATTACCAAAATTCATTGTGACATAAAATTTTAGTATTTGGGTTGAATATTATCTAGAACGGTCAAATCTGATAATGATAATTATGATACAAAGTCAATTATTGAAATGTATCTGGTATGTATACTCCGATTACGCAGTACATGCGTAAAATTATTCTTTATAATATAACATATAATATGTCATGAATAAAATATAAAAGGGATTTATGAGATGAGCAATTATTCTTTAACTTAAAAAATGTCGTTTATAGTAGATGAAAGTTATATACCTCAAAATCGACAAGATTTGTACGATGCTGTTCTTAATGTATTATTTCCAATCACTTTTGTTGTTTTACTTAATGTTAGAAAAGAAATGAATATGAATGAAAATAATAAAGAATTGAAAAACAGCAAAACCGAAATTGAAAATTTTGAAACCTACGAAACTTTAGTTGATGGACAAACAAAAGAAATGAATGAAAATAAAGAACCAACATTTAAAGAAATAGCATTGCCATTACTGGATGATGTGTTATATAATATCGTTACCTGGATGATTCCATTAGTAGTCTCTTTTGCTTACAAAGACATTTTAAGCATGAAAATATTTTCTTTAATAAACATGTGTTTACACTTAACATGTACTGTTATGGCAATTTTTGCTAAATTTTTAGCCATAAAATATAATATGAAATTCTTTGGAGATAGCGTAGAAAAAAAGGGATTCTGTTGGACGATTAAAGATCTAAAAATAAATGATGATGATCATGGTTACGGTATAAAATTCTATAGTGATAATGTAGAAATAAATGGATTATTTCATT